AAAAAAAAAAAAAAAAAAAAGTCTACCAGGTCAATCTCACTATTAAAAAGTTCATCTAGTATTTCTACTATATAAACTGAAGACACTCACATCTGAATCTCCCTAGGGAAAGAATCAGCCTAATATGAAGGAAGGAACTGGGCTTTCAAGTAAGATAGGCAGGGTGGGAAAGCCGGGTCTCGCTGTGTGCCACCAGGCAAGTTAGAGAACGAAGCCCGGCCTTAGAGGGATGTGGGAACATTTCCTATCACGCAACAGCACAAAAAAGTAACAAGGGTCTGAAAATTAATCACAAAGCTTAAAATAAGCCAAGTGGGAAACCACAAAGGGTGAGAAAACACAGAGCATATGGAAGGAAAAGTTCAGAAGGAACTTCACAGGATGCAGAATAGCTAAGGAAAGGAAGAGCTAGACAGATCTTTAAGATCATCCAAACCAGTTCTCTCGTTTGCAGATGAACAATCTGAAATGTAGAGAAATTCTCTTCCTGAAGCCACATGGGGACACACTGTGACCCAAGCCTCTGTCCCAGTGTGCTCTTCCTTCTAGCACACCCCGCTGCCCCTACTCGAGTTGACCTCGACTTCGAGCAGGAAGATGTCCCCAAACATCTATTTTCTTTGTTTCCCACAAGGCTTCCTTAAGAAATTTCCTTCTTATTTTATTTAAATCACTTTTTAAGTTAGAAGCTGCAATAGAAATAACTTGGAATTTGGCCTCAAATCTCAGCTCTTGCTCTTCATCAGAAGCTACAGACTTCTCCAGGCCTCCATCTCTCATCTGTAAAGTGGAGACACAGTGCTATAAGGTAAGTGACAAGACATAAGCACACACAGACTACACAGCACTGAGAAAGCCTTCGGTGACTGTCCATCTCTTTCTCTTCTCTGCCATTCAAGATCAAGTTCTCCTGTCCTGAAAATCTACTCACAGGAAGGTGCTCTCCCTGGAAATCAGAAACAATGGGCACCATGCTCCCTGCTATCTCTACCTGTATTCCCTGAAGCCAAGAGGAGGAAATGCAATGTGTGAGGCTAAGCAGCAGCGCCCTGCTCACACAGAGCCGCTAAATGGGATGTGTTTACAGTAGGTGTTTGAGAGAACGGTTACCCTAGTCATCTCAGGTTGGCAGGAAAGGGGTGGACAAGAAAATTCAATTCAAACAGCTTCGAAAATAAGAGCAAAAAATCTTATATTTATTAGGAATATTAAACCCATGCCTAACTATTAAACCACAAGTCAATTTTTAAATGGAGAAAAAGCTACCAGAATATACACTACAGAAATAAAACAGGGCTGGGTTGTGGCTCAGTGGTAGAGTGCTCGTGTACCCTGTGTGAGGCCCTGGGTCGGTCCTCAGCACCACATAAAAATAAATAAAATAAAGGTATTGTGTCCATCTGCAACTTAAAAATAGATTACGAAAAAAGAAAGATAAAGCAAGTTGATGTGAACAGTGTAAGTAACTGAAAAGCCCGCTGCCCCTCCTCTGCCCACCTGCTGTGGTCAATGCAGTGCGTCCTCTGATGGAGAGAGAGGGGCCTGATGTGGTACTGGCGCACCTGGCAGGTTTTGGGCTGGATTCTTGGCGTCACGTAGGCTTGAAGTGTGCCATACTGGCCTTCGATGGAGCGGATCTGAGGCCACACAAGAGAGGAGAGAAAAAGCGTCCATGAGAAGCACGACAACCTGCTATGTTCACCAGGTCAGCAGGTTGCCCTGACTGCCCTGCACTAGTCTGACATTTTACTAAGCAACGACTCTCTTCCCCACGACAGGGCAGCAGAATAACCAACCCTGGCAGTCGTGCAAAGTCGACCTGTGGGTTTGCCCACCACACACTCCAGCTGGCCTGTCCACTCTTCCCAGCCCTTCACCACTCCAGGACAAGACCCACACTCCCACGGACAATTCTGTCAAACCTGAAAAGAGGTGTGAGCATGTTCTACAAGGTTCATAAGAAAAGTACTTAAAATCTAGACATTTTTGTTGAACAGATCAATGAGTTTTCAAAATAACTATAACTCATGGGACACAACACTTTCTCAGGAATGGGGTATACCGTACTGTTGCTGTTACAAAATCTTACTGACAGAAAGAAATCTTCCCAAAAGCCCAATTCTTGATTGTCTCTAAAAGCAGAGAAATACATATTCTCTCAGGCCATCGCAAACATATTTCCCAGATGCCCCAAGAACTCAGAACTCCTAACATAAGATTTTTTTTGCAAATGGGCATAGATAAAAGATAAAAAGGATAAGAAAGACAATGAGTAAAAATTCAGAAAGAAAACAGGACTTATAAATCCAATTTGGGGTTTACTTTTAAAGGGTAAGTTTCTAGCAGCAGCACAACTTTCTCCTTAATAAAACGAGCTTTAATAATAAATATAACAACTTTATATGAAAATTGTGTTTTTAATAATGACCGTAACAAACAATTCTCCCCACCCTTCCTTCCCCTGCAGTGCGCTCCCGCCCTCCCAGCCCACTCACACCTGTCCCACCTTGCATAAATGTGGGCCCTCCAAGGGTGTCTCTTTTCGGATCTCCTCCCGTAGCACTTTAGTTAAGAGACACACAAACACAAAGGACCTAACTGCTTCTTGCTCTTCCCTGGACCGCGCTCCAAGCAGACAGCTGAGGCAGGAATTCCAGCCATCACGCAACCCACCATCAACAAGGAGCACTCCCCTCAGTTCCACCTCACTCCTCTCTAAGCCAGGCTGCAGCTAACCACACAGTCATCTGGGTGCTGGAACTTTATTGCTATTAAAAGATCCTCCCGAGGAGCCCTATCACTTGTTTTCAAAAATGGCTATGAAAATGTATATGTCCACCAACCATGACTAATCATGACCTTTTACTCATCCCTGTCACCTAGAGATGATGTTTTTGATATTTTAATATTTTTTACCTGTTGGAGAAGCAGAAGCCACATTTTTGCTATGTTGGTTTAATTTCCCAATAACGCGGCAAAACTCTCTTGTTAGCTCTTTTGCTTCTCTCTTTTGAGAACTGCCCATCTTTACTCCTTGCCTATTTTCTTTATTCAGTGATCTTCTCTATAGTAACACACAGATTGCTTTTATTTTCATTAATGATTACCTAGTGTCTGGAAGACAATTTTCTTCTTTAAGTACTTAACTCATCTGAATTTGTCACACAGGGCAAAAGGTGAAAATTCACTAGGAGCTGGGGGTGTAGCTCAGTGGTGGAACATTTGCCCAGCTTGGACAAGGCCCTGAGTTCAATCCCCAGCATCGCAAAAAAAAAAAAAGAAAAATAACCCCCAAATCCACATACTTTTCTTTCAGATGAATGCCAATTAAGCCAATACCAATTTTTAAATAGAAATAGCAATCTGATTTTTCCCTAAATAGAGATGTCACACATTAAGTTCCCGCAAACGCGTGCGGGCTCTCTTTCTAGACCCTTGTCTGCTACAGAGCCTGTTTGTCTACACTGGGAGGCGCTCTGCTCTGCCCACCATCCCCACCCCACCCTGGCCAGTGCCCTGGAGGCAGTGCTCTCCCCAGTGCCCAGGGGTCTGGAAGGAGCAGGACACAGCCCCTTGGCTGGCACTCCCGTAGCTGGGGGTCGGGCAGGCTCCTCGCGGCCCAGCTGCTTGGTTAATGTTCACGTTTCCTCTCTTGCCGAGGCACATTCCACCTACTTTTCTTCTTTCTCATAATTTTCTTGGCTCTTTTCAGGCATTTATTTTTTCCTCTGAACTTTAAAATTATTGTGTCCAATTGTATAAAAGAATATAGTTTTAAAAAATTTTTCAGATCGGCTTTCAAATTTACTGGTGCAGCCTTGCTTAGTGACATACAATAAAAGGGGCATAATATGATCACTTACACAACATGCTTGAGTAAAATCTTCTAGAAATAAGTTTATCCTAGTTTTCAATTTTTCTAACATTTATTTTTTAGTTGTATGTGGACATAATACCTTTATTTTATTTTTATGTGGTGCTGAGGATCAAACCCAGTGCCTCACACATGCTAGGCCAGCGCTGTCCCTCTGAGCCACAGCCAACTATGTATAAAAGGATACTTACAAAGATCAACACCAGGGGGAAAAGTAACAGTCCTTCCATTTTAGATCATAGGTGTATCAAAACTAAAAAATTTTGAAACCTCCCAACACAAAATAACTAATATAAATTTGTCTGCTATGCTCAATATTAAATCACAAAGATGGCTGTTACTAAGTTGCTAGGGGAAGGTGACCTCAGGCGCGGGTGTGCCAAGGGGAAGGTGACCT